TGGTGTGAAAGAGGGTTGTGAATCCAGCGGGCTGGTTTTTACAGGCAAGAAGTGTCAGAGGTGCGAAGGCTTTAATGTATTATTTCCGTGCTTGGAGTGGGAATCTGCTTGGGCAACTCGCCTTTTACGAGTGGGAAGGACACCTCCTGACTGTATGCAAATCCCTCCTTAGCAAAGGGGAATTTTAAAAATAGACTTTTAAGCAGCAGGGATGCCTTAACGAGCTCAGGTGAAGCGGCTGTGCCATCCCGACTTTTCTGAAGCTAAAAAATCGCAGGTTTTGGTGCCTGTTTCCCTACAAACAGGGGGTGATGGGGATGGAAAGATCACATTTACACCCCTCTAGGAGTGGGATTTCTCCCACTTTGTGGCTTGCGAGCCCCGTTCCTCAGACTCTCACGTAAGTCGCGGTAGAACATCCCCCTGGTAAAAAAAAACACCTTTTCCATGCCCGACACCCCCGTGTACCCCCTGCCCCGCAGCTCCCACCCCGCAAAAAAGAGACAGACAGACAGACAGACACCTCGCAGAACAAATTGGGGAGAGGGATGTGCATCCCCCCGGTTCTCCCGGGGATCCCCCGAGCTCACCCCCGCCGGGTGCGGGGCTGCGGGCGGCAGGGGGAGCTGCGGGGCGGGGAGAGAGAGGAGAAGGGGGTGCGGGATGCGGGGGAGAGAAATGCATTGATTTATTTTGGTTTTTGTACCTTCGGGGTTGGCGCTGATGAAGACTCGGACGCTGCGGCCGCTGGGTCCCAGGTGGGAAGGCAGAGCCGAGAGGTTCCCGGAGAAAGCCGCCCTCCGCAGCGCCGCATCCCGCGGGCAGGGCAACCTACCCCCCGGGCCGGCTGGCCACATCCCGCCGGGAATGCTCGGCGAGGGGCCCCTTTTTCAGGGCAGAACCCGCATCTCCTCGGAGGGGGAGGCGCTCGCCACCGGAGAGGCCATGAGGAGGGATCCTTCGGCCTCCCCCGGGGGCCACACTTTGCCTCCTCTTCTTCCTTCTCTTCTTCCTCCTCCTCCTCGGCGGCGGTGGGGGGGTGCGGACAGGGCAGGAAAGTTTGCGGGGGAGGCGGGATGGTGGTCCCACGGCCACAGCTCGCCCGGGAGGCCGGGGGTGTCTCTCGGTTTCCCCCCCCTCCCCTCTCCACCGCCCGCCCTACACCTCCTCGGCCCGGGGAGGGTCGGCGGTGGCCCAAAGCAGGGATGTCTCCGGCGAGGCTTCCCTCCTCCCGGTGTGTCACAAACCCGGGGGCGGATTTTTATAGGAAAACTGCTGCCGGCTCATCCTCGGGGCTGGGGAAGAGTTGAGAGCCCTTCTCCTGCTGGTTCCGGCTGCGATGGGGAGTCTGCTCCGCTCCAAAAGAGAAGATGCTCTTGCTTTGTCTTTCTTTCCTTTTGAATCTTTTTAATCAGTTATTTATGGGAAGAAACGCAAAGCCCCGGTTTGAAGAATGAAAGAGGAAGGGAAAGAAAGAAAGAAAGGAAAAGGAAGGGAAAAGCTGCGGGAGAGGAGCCGCCGCCGGGATGCGGTCCCTTTTTGCAGCAGTCGGTGCCGGGGCGTCCCGTCGGGCGGCGCCCATCAAATATTCAAGCAGGACGGCGGGGGGGCGGGGGCTAGCGGGGGCCACGGGTCGGTAGGTGCCAAAGCAATTTTCACTTCCAAATCCCAACCGTTTTCGTCATTTCGGGCACGATTTTTGCGATTTCTGGCGTTTGCACAAAAAGGCGGCGGTTTTGTTGAATTAGAAGTTG